TATTGCTTGACGGACTTAAAAACTATTTTTTAATTTAAAATTATTTATCAAACACAAAAATTGTGTATTAATATACTGAAATAATGAGTTTAATTAATAATGTCAACCCAAGAATTCGGATAATGAGATGCTGTTTTAATAAGTATTTGGGTTTATTGAAATTAAAGTGTTATGCAAAAATTAAACAAAATCAAAAAAATATAATGTTTTTCAAATAAACTGATTTATTTTTTAATCAATATATTTATGTGCTTTTGCATAAAGATATTCTCTCGAACTGCTATTGAGGTAATGGAATCAAACAAAAGTAAATTTGCAGGGACGAGAGAGCATAGAACAAAAGTATTACGCTTCTTTTGAGACTTACAGACTATTCGGCTTATTATTTTACATTTTTTTCTTATACAATGTGCAGGATGAGTTTAAAGTTTCTTGAAGTATCTAGGTAGATGAAAATTACTTAATATTACGAACCTGTTATTTTTATCAGACAAGTTGAAGTACACTTCTAGATTTTCTCTTATATAATTTATATTTAAAGGTAAAGGCGATCAAAACCAAAATATATAAAGTTAGGAAACTCCTTGGTCAAGAAACAAAATAGAAGCCGAGTTAGGAACTCCTTGGAAAAGAAACAAAATGGAAGCAGTGCGCAAAAAGAAACATCTGCACTGTCTGGTGGTCCGTCGTCGAGGCAACATCGCTCATGGGTTTTCGACTATTAATATTGGTTTAGCAATTAGTCTAAGGCTATTTTAAGGATATTACTCTGTAAGTACTTTAATTGTTGTTTAACTGGAGTTAGCAGGTTATCATTTCATTCCTTTATTTGCCTTTTATATTTGTTCATTTTAATTAATATCGCATAGTCAAATTGTCAAATGTCTTACTGTTATTTTATTTTTAAAAATCCGAACGAAGTTCCTTAATATAAATATAAAACAAAAACATACATATATGTATATATTATATACCTACAGCAACAAAGCGATACTTTAGTTTGTAATTTCATCAGTGACATGATGTTTGACATGGGAAAAGTTTCAAAGCTCGCTCACAAAAATGTCACTTAAACGTTTACAAGAAATGGAGATACGTTATTTGAAGCCAAAATCAAAGAAACATTTTTTTTTATATATCAAGCTATTTTGTAAATATTTCGCATTCCTATAAGTCCGTTTTATAATATAAGTAAAATTCCCTTCCCTTTTTGTAAGTCCCATCACTCATTAAAATTTTTTAGTAGAATATAGCCTCTGCGAAATTTAATTACCTATGTGAAAATAAAAGAAACGAACCTCAAAATCACAAGCAAACCTTGTCCTACTATACTTTACATAAATAATTATAATCGAATAACGTTATACATTCAAGAGACGGTTTAGTTAGGAATTAAAAATTTTTTTTGTTAATGTTTCTAAATCATATCTACATTACTATAAATTTATACGTTGTTTGCTACAGATGCAATTAGAGATATAATCTCAGCAAAGGAATTGTCAAATATCGCAATCAAAGTAGGACAGAATTTACCCCTGTAATACTTACTATAGTAATTTGTAATATCTTTAAAAAAAATAGTAATTTTTTATATGAAATATAAAAAAAAACACATATGTTTACTCTGTTTAAAAGAATGAGTTCTGAGAGAAAAACTGTAAGAAGGAGCAAGGTAAGTATGTACTATAAACTTATGTCTTCGTTTCCTCCTGCCCAGGTGTTGATTAGGTATAAAGTGTGTAGTTTTCTTATGCTGTCTTTCTCAACAACAGTAAAACATTAGAAGTTTGAGGTTTTATATATATTATAATAATAGTAATCCAATAAAAACAATCCATGTATTAACTAATTAACAGTTTAATAAAAAACAATATTTAATCAAATAATTTCTTACTTCGTTAACCGATACTAAATGTATTCAATAGTATGAAATTATAACGTACATACATGTATGTATCTATATTAACAAATTAACGATACTTATCTAATGTTTGCAAGTCTCGCCGATATTTACCGATTAGTCCCCTAGCGGAGCTTGAACGGTCGTTTATAACAAAGTTGCCCACCAAACAATTAGACGAAGTTAGGATCGGGGCTGCGATTTGTTTGTTCTAAGTCCCTGTTTGATCGCAACACCGGAAATTAGACCTTGTCCGGATGTGCGTCTTTTTGAATCGTTCAATGATTGTAAAGTAAGAATGATGTAATTTATAAAACTTGAATTCAGATATATAATAATATAGTTTTAGTCAAGCGAAGCTGTAGGCTTGGTCCTTAAATAAATTTTTCCGGCTTTATTTTAGAATATATACATATATATATGTGTACTTATAATAAATATATATATATATATATGTTATCAACGTGTTGAATACAAAAGCATTATAATAAATACATACGAGAACATCTCTTAATAGAAACCTATCAAACGTCGACAGATCACAAGTTATTACTGAAGCAAATGAACCGATAACACACTTACTACATTCTATACCATCAATTTTGATGAGACCCTTCGGAGTACATGAAGATCGTTCAATCGGTTGACTCGGTCTGTGAAGATTTCTTTGTCACGGACCAAATTACACTGGTCGATATTGTGCTACAGAAATTCATAGAAGCTAGAGGCGCCTTCCGTCATGTTATGTCGAGGAAATGGAGACGCAGTTCTAAACGGAAAAGTCGAAGTGAAGAATCCATGTCTGACTGTTAGCGTTGTTTTCATTACGGTGGATGTGTAAACAAGAACTGATGATACATACGGATGCTTATATTGGTCGAACATTATATTGTTTACGTTAAAGAAATATAACAAAAATGGACTTACTTTAGTTAACATGATAATTGGATATTTCAGGGTAGAGAATAATGTTAGGGTAGTTTTTTATAAAAGTAATTTTTATTAAAAATTAAAGGATATTCTTGTCTCAAACACTCCGTGTTCTCGCATTCTGTTTCCAATATTAATTATAAATATTCAAAAAGATTTCATAATGCTATTCATCCCGCACTTTTAATCTTGATTCAATCTGAAATGCTTTAATTAAATTAGTTGCTCAAAGCCGTCGAAAATTCTATTATTCGAATTATTTAAGCTGCTTAAAATTAATCCTCTTTGTAAAGTTGCACAAACTATTTGACCGTATACAACAAGGAACGCATTAGCCAAGCTTTGTGTTCCTGATTTATTTACTCCGTGCCGTTGAAAGAACGATTGTACATTTTTTTTTAACAGCGTCATTTTGCTGGTGAATAAAAATGTTAATCTATTTGCTTAGGGTAAGGCGAATTGTTGATACGGTGACGCAATCTCCATTAATAAATAGTACATAAAACAGTAATATCATGTTTACTATACAAATATAGCAACGTTTCATTAAACTTTTTACATCATTTTTTATTACTTTAAATTTGGTAATTTCTCGTTAATCGATAAAATATATTTTATGTCACTATCAAACATTGCTAAAAAAAACAATCTAAAATTATTAGTGTCTAATAAAACTCAGTGTAATTTTGTGGTTGGCTCTGGATTTAATTACTTCGTAGTAAAATGTAAATAAAAAATAGTAATTACTTTTAGTTTGAATAAAATCTTTCTTTACTGTACTGAAAGTTTATATAAATTATACATAATTAAGTTAAGTGTCAAGTTCTGAATAAAATATCTTAAAAGGCATGCTCTAGTCCTAGTGTGTTAATCCCTCAACATGGAATATTTGAAGTCCACCTCTCATTTATAAGTACTTTTATTTAAGCGCGACATTCATTTTTAGAAATATGTGTTTATATTGTTGTAGTTTTAATGGAGACGTATAAGAAAAAACAAAACAATAAACTGAAGAGAAGAATACAAATAAAAAGGTTGAGGAATAAAGTAAGTTTTTTTTAGTTTTTTTTTTTTAGTCCTAGCTAATAATTATTTAACCATAATGAATACCTAAAAGATGAAGAGAGTGAATGTATTAAATAGTTTAAAAATAATATTCTGTTACAAAACTAAGAATCTTTTTCATTTTTATATTCAAACTACGCTTTAGAAACGAGAAGAAAAAACCTATTACATTAACTTATTTAAAATATTTAACGGGCCAGTCACACTTCCGGTGACGCTGTAAAAGCCATAGGTTATACATTACCAAAAAAAAATTGTATGTACCAATAAGATTTTATAAATCTCGTCGTAAATGACTTCTAAGTTTATTACTTAGGATAGAAAATTTAATACCCAACATTTACATATGTATTAAAATCAAAATCTTACCATTATATCATTTTTAGGTCATTACAAATATTATTGAATATTATTGTCAAGGAAAGTTAAAAACACGACAAACCTAAATGTATGCATTATATGTTCATAATTATAATAAGATAGGTTTTGAAATAAACATGTATTTTTATAGAAATATTTATATAACATGTTATGATAAAGTATACATGTATATATACGAATAATAATAATTATTATTGAAAATACTCAAATGTAAACGCAAACCGTATTTGCAGTGAACTTCGTAATGTTCCATACAAACATCTTAGTTTACTGTGAGTACGGTCGCAGAGCATGACAATTCAATACACTGAAGCTAAGTATGAAATGATAAATAGTCCCATAATAAAAAAATATAAATATATTTCAGGTTTGATATTTTATTTATTTAAAACACATATGTAAACTTACAATATTATTATTGCAATATCAAAATACATAAAATATATGTATGTATGTATATAAAGAATACAATTTCCTAATCAATTATCCAAAGCATAGTCCATGTAGGCACATAATAGCAATTGGAATGATTTTCAAGGAATGTAGCGTTACTTCTTTAAAGCAATCGGATCTTAAAATCTAAACGAAGTCCTAAATTACCTATACATTTTAAAACTTTTCATAAAAAACGGTGGTCTAAATAGCATTTTCATAAAGATTATATTTTACACAGGTATTAAAAGTATCGATAAAAATCATTATTACCTAAATCTTTATGAATTAATTAATTTTTGTATGCAATCGATTCCTCTTCTTCTTTCCTTACCGCTTGAATTAGAACTAAAGACATGACAGCATTTATAACCTAAAAGAGAGTAATTAAATTTTAAAAAGGCTTGTTAAAATAAGTTGTGTGAATTCAATTTATATTTTTCACCATGCTTGTATGAGAAAAGCTAATTCTGGCACCATCTGGTAACAGCTTTGGCTCAAAAGGATCAATAGTCGTATCAATAGTCTTTAAAACATTTACAAAAAAAATACACCTTCAATTTTAAAAAACGAGAAAGAACATCTGTGTCAAATCCAACTTTAACTGAATTAAAGGAAAGGGGGCAAAAATTTTGATAAAAATTATTTATTGGCGATTTCGAAATACATACACAGATCATACAAGACGCCAGCACAATACCAGCAAGCCAACCAGTCTTGGCCTCAAGGAACCACGTCAGTTCGTCCACACAGCCGTGGAAATAAGCGTTCCCTGTTACTGAGTCGCGGCATTCAGAAGGCAGAGGCTTGTTTAGGTTAATATAATCCATGGGTCCATCAGCACCACAACAGCCGATCTAACAAATAACAAACAATATCTCCTTGATTAAATTAATTTTTTATAATTAATTACAGAGATATTACTAAATAAAAATCCTTAATTTATGGGATAAATACTTTTGTAATTTAGGAATATGTTATTTATTCTTTCAATATTGTTATTATATAAACTCGTAAAAAATATATTGGCAGAAGAAATTTAAACAATAGGTAATATTCTTTATGTTTTAGTTATAATTATTTTTAAGATCAATATTAAATATTAATTTATTCGAGGCCAATACACAGTCTCGCTTATATTTTTATTTTATTTATATCGAAATTACTTTCCAGCCTCTAAATAAAAAGGTATATATGAAATATGCAAATGAATTTATTTTATTTTATTTTTATATGATGTTTGCAACATAAAAATATGATTGACTGTTTCATTTTCAAAATAAACAATGTTTTAAAATGAACAAAAAATCTTTTTCAAATCATATTTCAATTATATGTATAGAAAAAAACATTAATCTATGTTTATTAATTGAGGATTTTCCTAGCAAGGTACAACCAATTGGATAACATTAGAACTTCAACGTGCTTTTATAGGAAAATTTTAATACTAGATATATTATTTGAAATGACCATATAAGCTTGAGAATATCGCTGACATACTTTATGGAATAAATCTTCTATATATGTAAATATTATATTTGTAATTGCATTGGCGTCTCCGTGTCTATATAATGTGTTTTAAGAAGATCATTTTAACTAATTACTAATTAGCTTTAAGGTTTGATGTAACGAACATATTTATTTAAACTATATTTCATTGCTGAAATTAATAATAATCTAGCTTAGACGTTCACTCAAACTTTAAGTTAACAAACCCAACGGAATTATTAAATAATGCCAGTCAATCTAACTCATGGGAAGCTGTGATCTGGATTTGTTCCAATATTCAATTGGCTACTGAACCGAGAGAGGGTCATTTGATTAGCGCCAACAGCCGAACCATCCTGCATTCTTACGCTTCGTTTTGTATAGTTAGGTTCGTCCGGCTATGTTTTATCTTATTTGTATCTGTACCCGTTTATAAAACTTTTGGTATTTGATAAAAATATATTAAGCGAAAGTTTTGATATTATATCAAATTGGATATTTGTATATATTCTTAGCTGGACTTATGGACACATACAATAAACAATTTCTATTGACTTGTAAATAATATTAATGTTATTTGTTTTTCGTACCCCCTCCTGCACCATTCTTAGTATCTCCCTGCTGCCCTCGTGTTGAGGGTTGTTGATGAGTCTGTAGATAACGTTTCTAATAAGCGGTTGGATGCTGGAGTCGTAAGTCGAGAAGTCCAGAACGACGCAAGCTCCGACGAGTCCGAATACGAATGAAGCAATTTGTGAAGCTATAAACTAAAAAGGCCACGTTTATGAAATTATCAGTAAAATATTGGGTATAAGAATCTTAATCCCAGGTACTTCAATCCCAGCGGAAAACAAGCCCAACATCAAAACAAACTGTATTTTTTAAATAAAGATATGATAAAGGTATGTCCTTTTAAGGTCTCAAATAACTTGAACAATCAAGTGAGAGTTCAAAGCACTGTTAATTTACTAAGAACAAAAAGACTGTTAAAAGTATTTATGAAACTAAATTTTTGGCGGATTTTATTATACGAATTAATGGTGTTGGATACATACGACGAATAGAAGGAAGACATTTTCCATCAAAGCCGACCCGCAACCCAGGAATGCCACGATCATGATGCCGATGGACCCAATCAGAATGATGTAGATACCAATGAAATATTGCTGCAGTTCTAATATACTCATCCATTCGTTGAATCCTGGCTCGATGCATATCCAGAGGCAGAGCGCGAAAACTGATACACCGAATAACTATGAAGAAACAAAAAATATTATTATATACTGTCATTCATTATTTAATACCTAATTATTTCCCAGTGTAACTTCTTAAATCTAGTCAATATTCCATACGAAAGAAAATTAATTTACATAACTTTCATGCTACCCTTAACGGAATCAGACCAATAGTTCATCTCGAATAAAAACAGAAATGGAGCGGCGCTGTTAGTAAAAGTTTTATAATGCCATTAATTCTGTGCCGTCAAGTTTTATTTGGCTATGTAAGATATCCGTTGATCAAGCGATTCCATCTAATAATCTTGTTTTTGTTAGAAGTTCTCATAAAAGAAAACCCGTTACAATATACGATTGTGATTATTTGCATGATATATTGGTAGTTTGTAATAATGGGAGTATTTATTTGCTTTAGTTTGTTGACTTATGTTATTATTATCATAAAAGGAAATAAGTAAATAATACAAATATATGGCATGAGTTGGAGAAACAAAACATTTTTTTAATCATATATTTATCATTTTTAGAGCAAAAATAATAAATATTACAGAAAAAATTTCAATCATAATAAAGTCTGTCATTAAAATGTTAAGAGACTTTTTAAAAATTCATTATAGGTAATTCAGGTTGTTATAAATAAGACGACCTATTCTCCCTCTAACTTTAATCTTAAAATAGTCTTGTATCAGACAAATTGCAGAGCATTTACTATCAAGAACTTTCTTACCTTATACAAACTTGTATAATATTTAAGAGTCTTTTCTGTTTGCATCTAATGGAATTTTTATTTTCGCTTATCCGGTGGAAACAGTCTTTCAACATCAACTATTGATGTCATTGTCGACATTTTATTGTCAGAGAAAAAAACTTGTAATTATTTATTTTGAATTTATAATATTATATTTATCTTATTGATTAAGTGAACAATTTATTTTGTAAATTATTTAATAAGTAAAATATACAAAAAGGAATTTATTTAACATTCGTATACTCGTACAAATTTTCGTGAAACCTTAATTTGTGAACGGTGTTACATACCGATAGTCCGTACATAATAGACCGTTTGTAATATTTTTTAGTTAAGAATAAAATAAAACAAAATATTACGAATAATACTTAGTTTATTAATTATTTTAGTGACTTTTACTCTTGTAGTTTCCAATTTTTTTCTTAATACTACAAAAACAAATATAAAATCTTTACTTGTTTTTAATAACATTTGCTTGCTTTGTTGAAGTCTTTATTTGCTTCTTGATACGAGACAGAACTAATATGTCAACTTGATATCGCACAACAGAACCATTCATATTGCCTGGGAATCAGTGCAAGGCGTCTGCTTCTCTTGTCATTGTGTGACAGCTTAATAAGAGATAGTGTATTTACATTCAAGTTTTAGTTACAAGTTGTAGAAGTATTATTTAAAACTTTAAGATAACGTACAATTTAAATTTAATAGTAATGAGTAATTTCTCATTACTTTGTTGTATCAACATGATTCTCAAAATCGCAAGTAATCAAGCAAAAACTGCAAGAATCAGGTCGCTTTACAAGTCTCGGGTATTCTTTCACAAAGCTACATTATCTCACAAGCAAAAAGAGCTATATCTACGCATCATTATACTTTGTCTGCAAAAACCTTTGTCGAGACAACAACTCTGTTCGCAATCCATTAGGACCTCGCCAAATGACGCGGAAAGTTGACTTGTACGTTTGTACAGTTTGTAGGAAAAATCATATAATGTTGGGGCCGCCATTAAAGCTCGAATGCTCTCTGATACACGCTCTTGCGATGATAAATGGGGGTAATCTGTGAGGAAGACCGACTAACTAATAAATTTTAAATAAAGATGAATTGACGCGATTGGAATCCTCTTCACTTTTGGTGCTCCTTTGCATTTTATGAAATGAAAATATTATACTCAGTAAAATTATATTGTAGCAACTTCCCCGTAACTTGCCTTTTTTAATAATTTATGATATACTCGAAAAAGCTGAAAATGCAAATGTTAATATATACTTATACTGTATCATATAAATGTCTTACATTTCGTTTTTATATCGTCAAATAATACAGAATGTCAAAAGACGAGAGGAGAATACAGGATAAGAATTTATAACGTTGAGCGTATACAAAAGCATGCGGCTTCCTGAATTATCTTGTAAGACATCATGAGAAGCTGAAATGGATATTTATTATATTTCCTACACAATATAACTAGCGAAACACATTTAGATTTCATCGATTTATTTGATTTATACTATGCCCAGTGTATCATAATGCTAACCTAAAGATTGTAAGCATTTTATGATGTGTGTTACATATTTAGAAAAATTCTCATAAAATTTTACCTAAATTTGGCAATCATATGACATAGGCATAAGATTTTTTTTAAGTTCTAACATAAAAATGCGGCATAGAAAGCTGTGAGGGGAAACAAACAATGTGTAAATAGAGAAATATCATCCAAAGTTATAAAAATATATATTTGTTCAATTAGGTGTGCAGAAGAAAGGGCAACTCGTTAAATAAGCAATCGCTATTGTGATCTGCCCAAAATCAACAATTTTATATTCTTATCACATATTATGTAAACCATGTTTTACTCTTTGTGGAGCCAGACTTTTTGTGATGTTAAAAATTTATAGCCTCGTAAAAACTCCCGCCGCGTTCCTCTTCTACGCCAGAAGCGTCTTCTAAGTACGAATATGACATTACAATGTAGATACTTGAATATTTTAAGCATAACATTCAATATTTATAGCACCGATTGGTTGCCCAGTTATATATTTAATCCGAAGGAGATTTTGAATAGTAAAAAATCCAAACGGGATCAAGTTTATATATATTTGTTTTACAAACAATATAGCTACGAGGAACCAGGAAAACTTTTGTTTATATATTGTACTGTTGGTTTAGGTTATCAGCTGTCAGTATGTTTCGCTGTCTCCTCCGAGACACCTGTGAAGCTAGAATAATAAAGAGTTTTACAACGTTCCAAAATGGGACTTTTTCTGGCAATTCAACCGCAGCGTGCACTTAAGGGATTTGAATATCTTATACGGTAGATTTTATCTATACCACGCAACGTTGGGACGAATCCTTTACGAATTTCAGGTTTTTAAACAAACATTTAGCAATGTCGCTGATTGACGAATGCTAAGTGTTAATACACGAGTTGGTAAACAGTAAAATTACAAAATGTAAAATTCAAATCTTCTCTTGTTTGTATTGTATAAATTGTACAATGTATATAAGTGCCACTCTGCGGTGTCTACTCAGGACAGCTTTCGCGTTTATGGTAAGATTACGGAAAAATAAATGCAAATGGATTTAGATGTTGGAGTCATAAACTGAATTTTTAATGAGCTTATTTTGTTTTGGGATTTCTTCATACACTGTTCAAATGTTTCACCTTTAGTAATTATACTCTTACTGAACTCCCAGACATACTAAATATACCTCTAAAGCGGAATATTTTTATCAAGCACATAATCAGTTAATTGAAGGCAACGAAGCAAAGATCTGAAGTTTTTAAAAGTAAAGTTGAAAAAGCGCATTTTTACGGCCAATTACAAATAGTAGCTCGGGAGTTCTAAAATTAATACAGTATGTCAATAAAAATCACCTTCCATATATTAATATTTCTCAACAGTAACTCAAATATTATTGCTTCTGCCGCATTTAACACGTAAAATGTAATTCCTACAATGTCCTTATTGAGACGACAATATTACTTCAGACGAATTATTATTATCCAAGATGAATTAAATGAAATGAGATTTTTTTGATATATGTAATTATATATGTATGTATGTAAAGCTATTTAATAATATTTATTATTAAAATTTATATTGCAGGTATTCAATACATGCAATATAAATTTTAAAACTACATCTTTAGGTCTTGGCGGCCTTCCAAAAGTCAATTATAGGAATGACCGGCAGGATTTCAGCAATTATTTCTCATTTGTAGAAACACCTTAACGAGATTTCAGGTTTGAACGACACTTAAGGTTCAGCGATTTTGGCGTCGACTCGGCAACACTCACAAGACTCGGTACTCCAATTTATCCAAGCCATTGCTATTTCCGTCGGTCGGAGATACTCACATGAGATCGTGCATTCTATTTCGGTTTGAAAGTTTAAAAATTTACTTATTTTTATACAATTTACATTTTATTCGATACCTTTGAAGCTAAAATATAATATGCAAATTACTTAACCGAAATGCCGAAATCACAACGGTAAAAATACTGTACTCACTGAACTGAAATTATTAATAAATAATTTCAATATGTAGTCTAAAAAAATCGTTTATTTGATTAAATTGGTAAGCATGGGATATAAAGACCACGCTGAATTGTTTCTGTTGTAGTTATTTAATTCTCCTAATTAAACGGGCTTAATAACCGATGGTACGTAAGTTGTGTAAGACGATTTACTGCTTTCGCCACGTGCCGCTAATGTTTGCCTTAGCTAGTAATGGTGAAGTCATAATGGTGAACATCTTAAATTTTTTGTATAAGGGAATTGTGAATATAACATATAAAACGCAAATAGAACAGTAAATTTTCTATACCCAACAATACCCATTATGATTTTTTTTTTGCTCCTACAACAGAAATTCATATCTCTCTCATATATTGTCTTATATATGTATAAGAATTGTTTTTTTCTCTTTAGTCTATTTGATACTGAACTCCCTTGTGAATTAGACTTTACCTTACCCCTCTCTACGAAATTACCAACCCAACGCCATAATTCGCTTGTCCGTCCGAAATTATGTGAACCATCTGCCTTTTTATAGAACTTTCTTTGGCTTAATTTTGTTTAATAAAGTAAGTCCCGCGTCTCGTGAGTTTAATTTGTGCCTTCAAAATGTGTTAAAAAATATTTTTTGAATGTTTTTCTTTTCCAACAATTTTAGTTATTTTAAGTGTTTTGTGTATTTATTAGTATTTTTTGAGCTGCTATCATAAACAATATATCTATACTAATGTTATCTATCTAAAATACAGGTTTTATAAAATATAGATAGCTTTTACTCAAATTGAGTGAATAAGAATCAGTTATTCTAGGTATTAGTAAGACCTAACACATTATATATATATATATATATATATATATCTTTCAATATAATATTTTATTTTAATGTAAAAAAAGTTATTGTACCAAATAAATTCAACCATAAATTATTCCAGAACATCGGATAAACAATATTTTAAAAAAACATGTTTGATTTCTTAACACACACTTAATGATTCATGGCAGTACTGTACTCGGAATATATGAAGGCTTATCTTTGTGATAACGAATTTTTAAGCCATTTGTAAGAAAGAAATGACTGTGCTAATGATTCATTACGTTCTTAATAAAGTTTTAATGAAATTGTTGTTAACACACTATTAATTTTATGCTGTAGTATTTATTTTACATTTTTTTATCTAGGGATAACAGATAAAACAAAAGTCAACAATCCACGTGATAACAATCCAATTGCAATTCAATTTCAACAAAGAACTATCGATTGAGAATGTAAACCTAATCCAGCTTAACAGAAACAAATCTATTTTGAACTCACCCATAGTACAACATTGAAGCAAAACAAAGTGTACTTAATACAATAAATCTGCGACTCTAGTTTTCCCACCGCAGGGCCCTGACCATCGCCTCTCCCAATTCCAGCCATTTCATTTATATCACTTCACACAAACTTAACTTCAATTCTATTCAATACAACGTTCGGATCGTTACTGCTTCGTATCTGATACGGGACTAGGTTATCTATATTTGCAGCGATAAGAATAAATGCCACACCTTATACGAAGTCATTGTTAAAAAATACGCTGCTTTCGATCATGGACTTGTTTCGCTTCCACTATTTAGGTTATGTTTTAAAATTTTGATATCAAGATATATATTTTAAAACATAAAAAGAATTGAATTAAACATCTTCATTTTATTTTAGTGAAAAATCCAAGTACAACCTATTACAGAGTTGTTAGGCATTCTTTATATTCAGTGTCAATAAGCAAAAATCCATTTGAATTCCACATTTCCAGAACTACTTCCAAATTTTGCCTTCATAATTCAGTCCGGGGCTGTATACATACATCAAGGTTATCGATATGTGTTTGGACCAAAACGTGTTAGAAATTCCATAAACGGATTCAAACTACACAAACGCGTCGGTATAAGTTATAATAATAAATAAGAAAGCCGTTTTACAAAACCCCGGCACGAAATACCCGTAAATCGTGTTGCAACATAAATTTAAAATACGAAAACATTTAAAAATCTGCTTGCTCTGTAAACATTAAATACTGAAGATTTATTACAAAACCCTTTAGCGGTAAGCTTAGTTAAGACAGTACGGGCACGGATTTTTTCGAATACGGGTATTATTTGTAATTTTGGGTTCTTATTTCGATGTTTCTAATGGTTCTAAGCTTTTATTATAAACATAATATTTATGAAGGCAAGTTTTTGAACGAATAATTCGTAATTATCTTTGTTAATTGAATATTTTGGTCAAAGTTATTAGGTAATCTATATGGAACAGGTTTCCGAATTGAAAAACTAATTATTAAATGTAATATAGATCTTTATAGTTTGAGTTTAATATAAACCACATAATTATATTTCAATTTTGAACAACTCAGTTCGATATATATAAACTTAAAAATATCAACTTATTTTATAAGTGGAGGTTGATTTTTCCTATTGGCAGTTCTTTCTGAAATTACAATAATCTTTATGTATTGTAATTTTGATCCCGAAAGCTCAGGCTTTAAATTATTAATTACAAAATACCACATCATTATGTTAAATTTATATTAAGATATAGGTGCAATATCGATTTTCAATATTCAAGCGAAGCATGAAAATGCTACCCGCTTACATTATAATTTTATCTGAACTCAAATGGGTTCATAATGACTTTGCCAATAATTTTGCTGAGATTAAATGTGGCCTAGTAATATTTAGGTATCATGTTTGTTTATTTTAAGGATGAAAACATAAAAACGCTGAGGAAAAATGTATAATCATAGTTGGTTACTGAGTGTTGGGCATGCTGATATTATTTTATTATTTTATTAATGTTTATTATAATTGCTATATTTTAATATCCATTTTACTAAAATCCTTTGGACATTTCATGACGAAAGAGTGCTGTTCGCAACAAAAACTTTTGCTTATAAAAAAAGATACTTGGTTTTACGGATTAAAATAGATTAAATTGAAATTCTTCATTGAAAATTGCAATTTAAAAGTTCATACTGAAATTTTATTCAAGTAGTACCTAATTGTCAATTTGGAAAGCCAAGAAGCGCATACGACTGTTCTAGCGAGATAAAAGTTCAGTCATAATAATTTAATACCATTAAATTTTATACTTTTGTCTCCCGCAAGTAAAAAGTATGAAGAAAAGTTCCACAAAAGGTAAAAAAGGTAGTTTTGTCAGACAGGTGCACTCTCACTAGAAATTAATCTGCCAGGAGACGTTGTGGTGACTGTTTACAAAGCAGGCTGGCGTATTTCCCTTTACTCGTCATAATCTTCTCAGGGTTGCCACAAATGAAATATTAAATTACCTGTAACATTTATGAATACATATGATAATGTTCTCCATTTTTATAAATATTTGCAATTATAAATAAAAAAATATAATACAACTCAACAAATGAAATTTAAAAATACTTATTTTTGATACAATTGTTGTCTATCAATATAAGAACTGACAGCGGTTTTGAATCTCAAGGGGAGGATAAAAAAGAAATTACCACTTATTCGGAGATAGCACCATAAAAATGTTAGACTTAGGGGATTGCTTTTGATATCGATATCAATTTCGTTAAATTTTGTGAAATTGGTTTTCAAGTCAGAGTAGTTACTATACTTGGATTCATATACATTTTAGAAATGTAAACAAATGTACACGAATAAATATAACAAAAATATATCTGCATTTATTTAAATTTTAACGAGAAGGAAAAGCAAAAACCATCCCTGTATTTTGCAACATGGTAGACGTGAGTAAATAATTTTCTTGATTACCGAAGCTACGTCTTCGTCTAGCAAAGAGGAAAGTCGTCCCGACCCCGACAAAAATATTAAAACCTTCGTTCTCGCTGTTCCTTATTTAGTTCTATTCGAACCAGCTTGATATTACTCGAGAAAATTGATTTCCTTCTACGTATTTCGAGAGAAATAGTGTAAAATTCAGATATGTACTTTAGTTAACTGAATGTCGTCTATCGAAGTCAGTAGAGCTCTCGAGATTGTAGCGTCTAGCGTTCAGTTTGTTCATCAGTGACTTTAACCTTATTTTGATTTTAAGATGTCTCATTTTCAATTTGATTTTATTTGGTAACATCTTAGGAAACACTATACAGGTAAGGGTGCTCTATAAATATTTGAAAATAAGCAATTATTTAAAGATTTCAGTAAAATTGTAATATATATTTTGAATAAATACGGATATGTATTTTATGTCAATATGTATCATGCAAAAAAAATTGCACAATCTAAACATGAAGGAATTTTTGAGCATTTCCGAAAAACTTATATTTTTTTATTAGATTTGAAAAAGCCTTCAAGTATATTTTTTTCCAAAAAGCTAAAAAAAAAATCTTGGAAGATAAAATGAATTTTTCTCAGTGTCAAAGTTATATTAAAGCTAAGGTGTATGTAGTTTCATTATGCAAAAGCGTAATAAATAGCGACTGCAATTTTTTAATTTATAAATTCCATGATAATTGTTAAGAAACCATTAGAAAAATAGACGTGCTTAAATAAATCTTCGACTATTATTTAAACTTCTACTGCTGTAAGAAAGAAAGCCTATTAACTTTTTTCAGCTATTGATATAAATATGTCGAGTGCTTTAAACCTCCAAGAATGAGAACTCTTTGTTATATAGACAACTCTTTAGCTCTGTAAATGAGTTCTTCTTTATTGCAAAGATTCAATTAAAGGATAATACTTTCTATAACTGGATTAAAGTTATATTCTTGATGTATTTATCACAAAGACACTCATTGTTCAAGTAGTTCTAGAAATGTGTAAGATGAAGAAGTTTCTAAAAATTTAACCAAGCTCTGAATTATTTCATCACACGATTTTATTTTTAAATGCTTTAAGGAGACCGCTTTATGTGTAGATAAAAAGGAATTTGAGCACAGGTGGAGATCGCAATTAAATTGTGCAGGTAGAAACGCCGACCTAGGAAATGTAATAAACGACTCGCCTCCGACCAAATATTTAGAGAATCGTCTGTGGCCATGTCGCCAGCGATTAACTAATATGTCAATATACTTTCTCATTTTCTTTCTTTCCAACAATTTACTTTATTAAATGTCATGAAATATTGGTCGCTGTATTAGATTGGTGTGGCCTTTGTCCTCGAAATTATTTCAAATATTACTTTTCCTTAAACAGTATATAGAAATAGATGAGTCATGGTAGATAGTGGATATTAACAATGAAAACTGTATACAGTTATAAAATTGGATTTAATTAACGCTTATAAAAAAAAATACCAAAGGACTACTCTGTACTACATATTTTCTCATATCCGTTAGTTACTCACTCTAATGATTGATTTTCACATATTTGTGCGTTCCATACCACAATATTAATTATAAAGATGGCCATTTGTCAATAAAAGCAGTAAACCTAATGAATTGGACGTTATCGAAATTTATGTAATTGGTACACTATTCTGTCAACGGTTCATTGTTCATACAATGTACGTAGTCGGAAATAGTTCCTTAGTCATAATTGTAAGCAATAATAATTAGTGGTATAAATATACACTTCGAACAATTTGTTTTTGGCAGTAAATTACATAGACTTAAATATAGAATATTTAATGAAAGAAAAAAACGACGGCGCATTTTAGAGCTGAATTTATTATTCATTGCGCACCCTGCGAAGTAAAATGTTGAGGAGCCAAATGTCTTAAAAGAAAATTTTATGCTTTATGTAAATCCCTATTATGTAGCGTGGAACATATTTATAATCAAAACGACTGATTTTATTGATGAAAAAAATTGTAAACCTCTTCAGAGATATAATATAGATTATGATGAGAAATATTTTATTTTACAAAATCAATTTTCTCTTATTGCGATATATTATTCCGCTACAATGCTATCCTTTGGGGCACTTCACGCGTGGATGACCGCGGTTCTCTTACGTATTCGCAGACCGCCCCTTGCGCCCTGATTCTATTAACGTAGCTATTTCAATCTCTCTACTGTCTTAAAGATATTATTAATTATTTTCCAACAATCAAAATACTCTCAATTACCAATGTTTTAAGTAAATCTTGGAGTTTCATTCTTCAAAAATGGCACATCAACTTACGGTGGTCAATAAAAGGTTTTCATAATTTTTACTGCATTTAATTTTAATATACTGTAGAAATATTATTATTTTTGTCGTATATATTATAGATTATTTATCATCAATTTGTACTTAATAATTCTTTAGTCAATATTGAATAGTGGAGGCAAACTATTATCAAATCCTAAACAAATTTTATTAGTGACATACATTATATTCCCATAAGAATGTCTTTAGTTGTGGAATAAGTCCGCGTATACAAAAGGAAAAGTCATCGCTCAGTCGTTAATAAGATATATGTAAAGTAAGTCATAATTTTGCTTGAATAATTTCATAAAA